TCAATGTAAAGAAAACAAAAACCCTCACTGCTTGACCAATAAATAACATCATGATAAATGAAGAAAAGATTGAAGTTGTCAAAGACTTCATTTTGCTTGGATCCACCATCAACACTCGTGACAGCAACAGTTAAGAAATCAAACGACATATTTAATTAGGCAAATCTGCTACACAAGACCTCTTTAAAGTGTTCAAGAGCAAAGATGTCAGTTTGAGGACTAAGGTGTGCCTTACTCAAACCTTGATATTTTCAATAACCTCATTTGCATGTGAAAGTTGAACAATGAATAAGGAAGACGGTAGAAGAATTGATGAATTCAAGTTATAGTGTTGAAGAAGAATATTACAGGTATCATGGACTGCCAGAAGAAGAAACAAATCTATATTGGAATATGTACAACCAGAATGCTTGTTAGAAGACAAGATGGTCAGACTTTGTTTCTCATACTTTGGATGTATTATCAGGAGGAACCTGGAGAAGTACATTTGGTTAAGTGGAGGGTCAGTAAATAAGAGGGAGACCCACAATGAGATGGATTGGCACAGTGGCAGAATAGCAACAATTGTGAGACTAGCGCAGGTCTGGGCAGTGTTTCATTCTGTTGTGCATACCATACGGTCACTATGGAACTGACTTGGCAGCACCTAACAACAACAGTGATGAATATTATTCAACATCTTTTCCACATGCTTGTTATCCATTTTTATATCTTCTCTGGTAAAATGTATATTCAAGTCCTTTGCCCATTTTCTTATTGGATTTTTTTGTCTTTGTGTTGCTAAGTTGGAGACGCTCTTTATATATTCTAGCAATAAAGCCCTTATCAGATATATGTTTCCAAAGCATTTTCTCACATTTTATATTTTGTCTCTTTACTTTGTTAAAGGCATAACAAATTATCCTGACTTAAAAAAACATATTTGCATAAGTTCAAAATATATCAGAAGTGAGTTTAATTGATCTACTCAGAAAATACTCAAGTATATGTGTATCTGGCCACTATGCTGCTAAGGGCAAAAACACATGTGAACTATCATCCCAAACCTTGAGAGATTCATAGCTCTCTGATGAAAGCACAGGATGGGGTGGTAGAGTAGTAGCTTTACTTTGTTTTGTTTTTACTTTTTAAAGAACTGCTAGATTGAGAGAAGGGGTATTAAGGAGACTATTTAGGACATTTGATGTGTGTTTTGAGGACACAGTGAACTAGGATTTGTCTCTACCTGGGTAATCGCAATGTGATAAATTTACCACTTTGATGAATGAGAAAAGAGAGAAGTTGCTTTGGGATTGACCATAGCATAGTCCCAGGGCTTTATCAAGGCAAAAGATGTCAGAGGGCTGCCATGGACCAGATGCAAGCCATCTTTGTGAGAGTCACCATGGACTTGTCAAAGTCTTGCACCATTAGGAGGGGTGGACAGAACTTAGCAGTGATACTGAGGAATGAGCTAAGGAAGTGACCAGCTAGGAGAGAGCTTACTCATCCACATCAAGCAAATTGCAGATGAGAGATACTGTTCTCAGGGTGAGAGGTCTCTGAAGAATCCACACGAGTGCCAATGAGAAAAAGAATTTGTTTTCTTCTATCTTCCAAATATAGAGAGTACTGGTCACCATAATCATACCTGTCAAGAAGGTACTTTTCTGCCCCTTTTCTTCTTTTCAGTCCCAAGCATGGAGGCCTCAGAAACACCCATTAATGAGAATGGGAAAACAAAGTAAAAGCTCTAAGACAAATGAGAATTTGGCTCTACCACCCTCTCCTGAGTGTTGTTGTTGTTTAGTGCCATTGAGTTAGTTCGAACCCATAGAGACCTTGTATAGGGTTTCCAAGAAGCAGCTGGTGGGTTTGAACTGCCAACCTAGTGGTTCACAGTCTAGTGCTGACTCTACAACACCACATCAGGAGTCCCTGATATAGGTGAGCAAATGACACAGAACTATTAAAAATGTCAGCTTGAGGGCTAAGGTACGCTGACCCAAGCCATGGTATTTTCAATAATCTCATATGCGTGTGAAAGCTAGACAGTGAAGGAAGACTGTAGAAGAATTGATGCTTTTTAGTTATGGTGTTGGAGGAGAATATTGAAAGTGCCATGGGCTGCCAAAAGAACAAACAAATCTGTGTTGGAAGAAGTACAACCAGAGTGCTCTTTGGAAGCCAGGATGTCCAAACCTCATCTCTTATACTCAGACATATTGTCAGGAGGGACCAGTCACTGGAGATGATATCATGTTTGGTAAGGTGCAGGGTCAGAAAAAAAGAGGAAGACCCCCCAGCATGATGGATTGGCAAAATGGCAGCATCAATGGGCTCAAGTGTGGCAACAATTGTGAGGCTGGTCCAGGACCGGGCAGTGTTTCATTCTGTTGTGCATAGCGTTGCTATGAATTGGTACTGACTCGATGGCATCTAACAACATTCAAAATGTTAGGAGAGGATATGGGAAGCAATGTTCAATTTCTTAAGAAAATCAAAGATAAATTCCCAGAACAAGTAACTCTTTATTGAGGTTTTTAAGGAATGAGTAATATCCCACTGAGTTTTGGTACTGGCAAAGAAGGTTGAAAGTATCATTGTCTGATAGAAGGACAAACAAATCTATCTTGGAAGAAGTGCCGCTAGAATGCTCCTTAGAAGCAAAGCTAATGAGACTTTGTTTCATATACTTTGAACATGTTATCAAGAGGGACCAGTCCTTGGAAAAGTAAAGGGTCAGCTTGGTGAAATAGACAGTCAATGAAAAACAGGCAGACCCTGACTGAGATGGATTGGTACAATAGCAACAATGGGCTCAAGCATAGCAACAATTGTGAGAATGGCGCAAGATCAGGCAGTGTTTCCTTCTTTTGTACACAGGATGGCTCTAAGTTGGAACAACTTGATGGCACCTAACAACAACAACAACAACTTTGCACATGTTGTCAGGAAGGGGCAATTCCTGGAAAAGGACATCATGATTGGTAAAGTGGACAGTCAGTGAAAAAAATAAGGTCCCCAATGAGATAGATGGACACAGTGGCATCAACAATGGGTTTAAACATAACAATTGTGAAGTTGACTCAGGACAGGGCAATGTTTTATTCTATTGTGCACAGGATCTCTATGAGTCAGAACCAACTCAATGTCACCTAACAACAATTTCATCGGTTACTGTTAAGAACAGAGCAAAACAGATATTGATAGGCATCTTTGCTTGGCCAAATCTTAATGTTGTTATAGTCAGATTTGTGTTTCACCTCCCCTTTATCTGCCCCAAAAACCTTCCCAGGTTTTTTTCCACCCTCTCTTTCTAGAAAGTCAGTTTCTGTCTCTAAAGGCAATATTTCTGGCACTTTAGCTAACAGCATTCAACCTTCCTCCAGGATTTCTGTTGAGCTCTGTTATCAGCAAATGCTATGAGAGATGGCATAAGAGAAATCCCCATAAAGAGCAATTTTCTCCCAAGAAATTGTTGTTATTGCTAGCTGTTTTCAAGTAGCCTCCTACTCATTGTGACCTTCTTTATAACAGTGCAAAATGTTAACTGATTCTGCACCATTATCACTGGTATATTTAAGTTCATTAGTGTGGCAAGGGTCCTCATCTTTGAGCATTGTATCAAACAGTAATCTGTTCTGATCCATAAGGTTCCCAAGGCCTTTTTAAAGTTCTATCAAGCAAAAAATGACATTTTGATGATTAAGGTGTAAACTGACCCAAGCCATGGTCTCTTCAGTTGCCTGATCAGTATGCAAAGACAATACTAAAAACTCACACATAGAGAATAGATGCTTATGAATTATGGTATTGGGGAAGAATATTGAATATCCTGGTGTGGCGCTGTGGGTTAATGCACCAGACTGCAAAGCCATTTGAACTGCATGGTCGGCAGTTCAAGCTCACCAGCTGCTCCTTGGAAACCCTGTACAGGGTCGCTGTGGGTCAGAACCGACTCGACAGCACTTCACAACAACAACAAGTATACTTTGGGGAGAATGAACAAATCAGTCTTAGAAGCAATACGAGAATGCTCCTTACAAGTGTGAATGATGAGACTTTGGCTTAATTTCTTAGGACACAGAAACATGAAAGACCAATCACAGGACAAAGATATCATGCTTGGTAGAATGTCATTGAAAATGAGGGAAAGCCTCAATAGGATGTTTGGCACAACAGCTACAACCCTGGACTCAAACATACCAAAGACCATACAGATGATGCGGGACCAGGCAGTTTTTCATTCTGATATGAAAAAGGTCCCCATGAGTCAGAGTTGACTTGATGGCAAATAACAATCCCAATTTTCAGAAATAGATTGCCAGGCACTTCTTCCTAGTTTGTCTAAGTCTGGAACCTTTACTGATGCCTGTCCACCCTGGTTGCTGCTGTTGTTAAGTGCTGTCGAATAAGTTCCGACTCATATCAGGAATAGTTGGTGGGTTTGAACCACCGGCCTTGTGGTTAGCAGTCCAGTGCTTATCCTACAGTGCCACAGCAGGACTCCAAATAGAGGGCTCACCTGGGATCCACCAGAAGTGACCATGCTAACATTTGAAATACCAGGTACATATCTTACTGCATCAGAACAACATGCAAACCACCATAATACAACCACCTGACAGACAGATGGCAATTCCCAAGAAAATGCCTCCCTAACTTCCCATTATTCTCCCAAACAATAACTGACTTGCCTGAGTAACAGCAATTCAGCTAATTTTCCCCAGCAGGGAACTTTCACTTAGGTGACAGAAATCCCTTAAAACAGAAAATTGAACAGAACTTCATCTGATTTTTCTCACTACACTTCTTGGAGTCAACAGCAATGACCTATGGCTCTTGTACATAGCTTTTTGTATGCTTTGGGTTTCTCTTCTCAAGCTATAGAGCAACAGGGTGGGTAGTATCCATCAAGACTGATGATGTGACAAAGCCCTGGGCTCACACAGGGCCAGGGGGAGACAGAATGCTTGGGAGTAGAAGCATTTTCAGTTTGTTCTTTCCTTACTCTCTAGAGCCTGTCCTACACTTTGGGGTTGCTGAGTATCATGTCGATAAAAGTGCTGACAATCTGGAGGTTTGTGTCTGGAGAACAGGTCCTGATCTTTCCCAAGCAGCCTCTGTCACCGTGCGTTCCAGAAGGACCGAGCCAGTCTCAGCAGCAGGTAAGACAGCCATCTTTAAAATGTAATTAAAAGTGTTATTGTCATGATATACATTATGGCTGGGTCTAGTCTATCAAGGGGGTCCCTGAGTGGTAAAAAAAAAAAAAAAACAGCATGCTCAACTACTAACTGAAAGGTTAGAGGCTCAAGTCCATCCAGAAGCTCCTCAGAAGAAAGGCCTGGCAACCTACTTCCCAAAAAATCAGCCACTGCAAACCCTATGGAGCACAGTTCTGCTCTGAAGCATATAATAGGATTGCCATGAGTCTGAGTTGTCTCCACAACAAGTATTAGTTTGTCAAATGTAACATATCTAGACTTTGTGGATGTTTTCTGATTTTAAGTTTTTCCTCCCTAAGTGTATAAACAATCTGTACATATAACTGCTCTTGCTTATGAAATAAACAATATGCTAACAGTTTATTAATGAATCATTTAATAGTCATTTCATCAATTCAGTAATAAATCATATACCTCTATGGCTTATTCCTTATCCATTTGCTCTTTGTGGGTCCAAATTAATTTTCCAAAGTTCAGACCATGTGTAGATACTATAAGTTGCTCATAAAGCATAATAGCAACCCCTGTTGAGTGAAGCCCTGCCCCTGGGAGAATCAAGTCACATATTGTTGTTGTTGTTGTTGTTGTTGTTGTTATGTGCCGTGGAGTCTGTTCCGACTCATAGCGACCCTGCATAGGGTTTCCGAGGCTGTAAATCTTTACAGGAGCAGAAAGCCTCATCTTTCTCCCGCGGAACAGCTGGTAGTTTCGAACTGCTGACCTTGCAGTTCACAGCCCGATTCATAGCCACTATGCTACCAGAGCTTCTTTTTAGACCTTTGAAATATAAAAGGTTTTCACTTTTGACTCTTGAGAGGTTCCTTGGCTTCAAGCAGCATCTCCCTGTGTCCCACTCATCTTTGCCTTCCCTGGTATGGATGATCAAGGCCCAGCTAGCAGTGGTGCCAGACTATTCTGAATATCATTTCCTATCCTGAGCCTGTCAGCTTCATTAGGAGAAGAGAAACAAAACAAAACAATAGGATCCAACAGGAAAAGACAGCTATATTGTCATCTACATTGATATCCATATCATCTTATTCACCGCTACTTCCTTTGGGTCTCATGGGAAATGGACATTCATATATATCCAAAACATATCAGAATACCTTTAGATAAAAGCAAAGTAGAAACATTACTCCTAACAAACTCAACAATCTAAAAACCTATGCTAATGGACCAGGCAGAAGGAAAAAGAAATAAACACTTAACCATGAAATGGAAGCCTTGTTTAAGCATTTACCCAGAAACAATTGAGGAAATTAAAGACACCCAGTTAGGTTTACAATCCAGTGCTTGCATTTGAAGGACTGCATGTTATACAACCTTAGTGAATCTATCATAGGATATGAAACAAAACAAACAACAAAAAATCATTGCTTTGAGTTGATTCCAACTCATAGAGGCTCTATCATAAGACAACATGAAACTAGTGATTATCCTTACTAGTTCTTTTTGTTTGTTTGGGATGTTTTGGTTGGTTGGTTGGTTGGTTGGTTGGTTTGGATTTGTTTTAGTTTTGCTTTGTATGGTTTTATTGTTCTAAGAGGGCTGGGCCATTTCTCACTCTATTCGTATCCAGGGAACCAAAAGCAAATTAGATCAAGTGACTCCTTGGAGTGTTTTGCTTGTATTTACTCAGAGAGACCTAATTTATTTAAATAAAATCCTTTGCTTTTGAATCACAACAAAGTAATGATCTGTCTGCTAGCTCTCAGGGAGGGAAGAACCTAATGACCAATTGAAGTACCATCTATGCTTGGGGTGGTGATTCATGGGTTTAACATGAGAAATGTAGAGGTAACTGCTTAGACTTTGTCATCAATCCAAAACCAAATCCACTGCCATCAAGTCAATTGTGACTCATAGCAACCCTAAAGGACAGAGTTGTTGTTAAGTGCTGTCAAGTCGGTTCCAACCCATAGCAACCCTGTATAGGGTTTCTGAAGAGCAGCTGGTGAGCTTGAACTACTGACCTTGCTGTTCAAACTGACTTTGCAATCCAGAGCATTAACCAACAGTGTCACACCAAGACTCCATAGAAAGAGTAGAACTTCCCAATAGGGTTTCCAAGGCTATAAATCTTTATAGATGCAGACTGCCTCATCTTTCTCCAATGGTGATCATCAATGGAGCCTAGTAAATATTCAAGTTGGTTAATTAGCATGATAATAACTTAACATATGTTGTTGTTAAGTGCCATCAAGTTGGTCCCAATTCATAGCAACCCTGTATAGGGTTTCCAAGAAGTGACTAATGAATTTGAACCACCAACCTTGTAGTTAGCAATCCAGTGCTTATCCTATAGCACTACACCAGGACCCACAATTTAACATACATGTAACTATATATTATTTGTTTATTAGACATGCATGGTAATTATAACTTCATGCATTAAATGTATATAATTTCAACATACTGTGGGTACCTTTGCCTTATTATCTAAACTCTTTACAAAAACCTTGTAAGGTAACTATAATTAATCCCATTTTTGCAATTGAAGAACCTGAGACTCAAAGAGGTTGAATAATTTGTACATGTAAGCAGTAGAACCGAGATTTGGATGAGAATTCATAGGATCCCAAACCTGTGCTCTGCCCACTACTTCCCTAGCTAACATAATCTTGTTTTATTCTTATTTAATATAATTATTTGCTGAATTCAAAAAACTTTTCTGAAACAATTTGAAATTTACAGAAAAGTAACAGGTACATTGTGCATTCAAATGATACTCTAACTCCTAAAAACATTGTTGTTGTTGTTGTTACGTGCCATCGAGTTGGTACCGACTCATAGCGACCTTATACACAGCAGAATAAAACACTGCCCGATCCTGGGCCAACTTCACTATCATTGCCATGCTTGAGCCCATTGATGCTGCCACTTGTCCAATCCATCTCGCTGAAACCCTATACAGAAACGCTATAAGTCGGAACCAACTCAACAGTGATTAACAACAACCATTATATTTATTTTGATACTTAAATTATCATTTGATGACTTTTTAAATGAGTAGCAAAGATGTTACATGGCCAGATGGACCCATTTGCAACACATTAATAGCAAACAAGAGATTAGGAACTTCAAAGGGTGAGAAAATTAGAGAATTTTTACGATTAAGCAGATGTCAGCCAGAGGTATATGAGTTAATTCTAATCAAACTGAAATATACAATAGATCTCTTAAAGGATAAAAATAACAAAGGTAAATCTCATTTCTAATTGAAGTTGCCTTGGATGTAAACTGGGGGATTTTTGTGGAATGTTGTAAGGTGATATATACGCCTTGTGTAGGCATGGATAGCCCTGGTGAGGTTGGCACATGGATAGGATAAGAGTGACTTTCATGGCAGTTGACAGAATATGGATGTTTTCCTGTTCTGGGGATGGAACTCACAGAATACAGTTCTGACAGTGCTGTACTATATAGAGGAATGCTGCCAAGTTCATGAGACCACTTGTTTTTCTCTGAATGAAAACACAACAATAGTTCTCCTGTATCACTCCTTTTCCTTTCCCGCCAGCTGGACTAGATTATGTCGGCATCAACCGAAATCTGGACTTCGCTCCTGGGGTACGCATGCAAATATTCCAAGTGACGATCCTTGGTGACCTGGGACAACCCATCTTGGAAGGTCCAGTGAACTTTGAATTATTTCTTCAGATGCCAATAGGTGCAGTGCTTGGAGAACCAAATAAAAGCATCATATTCATCAAGGACTGTAAGCAAAGTGTTTGTATGTAGTTCCTTTGAATGAAAGACTTTAAAGGAGTAAAATAGCCAAAACACAACTCACAACAGAAGGAAACTCTACCATTCCTAGATCTTAGCAGCTCTGGGATGCTAATGATAATTTACTGTCATTTTAAGTTATGTTGATATGTACATACATAATTTGCTTGACTACATATGTATATATATGTGTGGGGTTGAGCCCCAAAAGGATAATATTGTGCTTTTGCTACCCTCCTGTTCTCTTTAACCTTGTTTGTAAAGCCATTGTCATCAATTAAAGGAATAGTTAAGAACAAAAGGGTCAATCTCTTTACTAATTGATGCTCGATATTTAGCACTTTTGAAATATGTGTCTGCTACCAGTGAAACAAATCTTTTGTTTTATCAGTTTATTGTGAAAAAAAAGAGCCCTCTGGTAGCGTAGTGGTTATGAATCGGGCTGCTAACCTCAAGGTCGGCAGTTCGAAACTACCAGCAGTTCCATGGGAGAAAGATGAGGCTTTCTGCTCCCATAAAGATTTACAGCCTCGGAAACCCTGTACAGGGTTACTAAGATTTGGAACTGACTCCATGGCACATAACAACAACAACAATTAAATTTTCAAGTAAACCTAAAGGTTACTCTGGCTGCTGAGGTTTCCCTCAACAAGTCTTTTATCAGAAACACTTTTTGTTGTTGTTACGTACCATCGAGTCAGTACCAACAAATAACAACACTGTACAACAGACCGAAACACTGCCCAGTCCTGGGCCAGCCTCACAATTGTTGCCACACTTGAGCCCATTGATGCTGCCACTTTGCCAATCCATCTCATTGGGGGGGTCTTCCTCTTTTTCTCTGACCCTCCACCTTACCAAACATGATATCCTTTTCCAGTGACTGGTCCCTCCTGACAATATGTCCAAAGTATGAGAGATGAAGTTTGGCCATCCTGGCCTCCAAGGAACACTCTGGCTGCACTTCTTCCAACACAGATCTGTTGGTTCTTTTGGCAGCCCATGGCACTTTCACTATTCTCCTCCAACACCGTAACTCAAATGCATCAATTGTTCTGTGGTCTTCCTTATTCACTGTCCAGCTTTCTCATGCATATGAGCTTATTGAAAATACCATAGCTTGGGTCAGGTGCACCTTAATCCTCAAGCTGATATCTTTGATCTTCAATTCTTTCAACTCTTACTTCCTTTGAAAACTCTTTTGTAAATAAAGGTAACAAAAAGTCAAATGGCAATAATAAACAAATGTGAGTAGCTAATTTTTTAATGCAAATAGAAATATGGAAAAGAAAAGGCAAAGAGTTGTATACACCAAAACTATCTGTAATTAATTCCTAAATAGCTTTAAATTGACAATGTAGTCATTAGTAGCTTCAGTCAATTAACATATGAATCAAACTTTCTAAATTATTTTGAAATCCATGTTTGTGTTTCGTTATTATTTTTTAACTATTTCTTATTCAAACCTTTTTATTTTAACTTGTGTTTTAGATAGTGCTTTACCTATTCTCAAGACAATATGACAACTAATAGAAACTATTTCCAGCATCCTATCCCTAGAGTAGTGGTTACAAATCAGGCTGCGAACCACAAGGTCAGCAGTTTGAAACTACCAGCTATTCCACAGGAGTAAGATTTACAGCCTCGGAAACCCTGTACAGGGTCGCTATGAGTCAGAACCGACTCCATGGCACATAACAACAACAACAACAACATCCCTAAACTGGAGCCCTAGTAGCATAGTGGGATATGCATTGGGCTGCTAACAGCAAGGTCAGCAGTTTGAATCCACCAGCCACTCTGTGGGAGAACTATGAGGCTTTCTGCACCCATAAAGATTTACAGCCTCAGAAACCCTATATAGGATCTCTGTGAGTCAGACTCGACTCAATGGCACTTAACAACAGCAACAACCACATGACAAGGTGAAAACAACAAAAATGAGCACCAAACCATTTGTCCCACATTTTATACTCATGCTGGTTCCAAAATTCATTGTAATGGCCACACTGAGTGCAGACACCATACTCACAGTTTTGAGGTCTTTTAGGGACGTTAATAGGTTACAATTCAAAGTCAGAAATGCTAAGGGCGCAGTTTTTCCAGTCAGTACAGCTTCTCCTTTGCCCTGCCCCAAGGCAGACTTCTCTCTGGCCCTCATCATTTTGGCCTGTCCTCTACCCTGCTTCAGCAATGCCACAAAGCTCTTTTAGGGCTGCTGATAAATGCTTACAGGGTACACCACTCCACCATAAGCCTAAGTCTGATAGTGCTCAGCTCTAACTTTGCAGGTCAGTGAACCAGAGACACCTCTATCTGCAAGCAAGCCTCCTGCCCACTTCCCCCCTGGGCTGGGAAGTCCACTGCTCTGTCTCCTACTCTGGTTCTTGGTTCTGCTCTTGCTGTTCCTCTGCCACTCCTCCATTGTCACAGCTCTCTGTCCCTGGGTTCAGGAGATTCAATGCACAGGGATCTCAAGATCCAAAGAACACGCTCCTCTCGTGACTCTTCATTTTTCATAATAGTGAGGTCCCCCCTTCTGTTGCTGAGATGGCTCATTTTAAATCCATGTTAGAGTTCGAAGATTTTGCCCTCACAATTAACTGCTAGCAATCACAACTGAACCATATCACCCTGTCAGAATCTTCACCCATCTTCTCTTACCCAGACTCAACAAGGCAAAAACATTGTTTGACATACGTTACAAAGACTATGGGTAGAAGAGTCAGATGAAGTAATTCACTGCTCTGCACAATGAGATATGTTGTTATTGTTACTAGGTGTCATTTAGTCCATTTTGACTTGAAGCGACCAACAGAACAAAATACTGCTCAGTGCTACACCACCCTCTTAAATGTTATATTCGAGCCCATTGTTACCACCACTGTGTCAACCCGTCCCATTGAGAGTCTTCCTGTTTTTTATTAACCCCACTTTATCAAGCATAATGTCCTTCTCCAGGGACAGATCCCTCTTAACAGCATATCCAAAGCCTGAGAGACAAAGTCTTTTGCAGGAGTTTTGCCTAATACCACACATCATTTGCTTTCTTGACTGCTTCTTCTGTAGTGTTGATTGTGGATCTGAGTAAAATGAAGCTTTTTGACAACTTCAATCTTTCCTCCATTTAAAACTGTTAGTAAAAATGCAGGGGAAAGAGTGTATCTTGGCCAGGATAGCTTTCAGGTGCATCTAACAGGCCCCACAGATACTTTTCCCCCAATCTCAAATAAACCATCATCTGTCTACCCACTGAGGACTTTCCTGACCAAGGAAAACGGGCATTGTCAGTCCTATCAAGAAAAGCATGGAGGTCTAGGCTCTGTTCCTGAAGTTTCCATTTTTTACTCCTTTTTTAGAAAACCATTCTTATTTTCTCTGTCTCCCTCTTTCTTTAAGAAACTACATTCAGATAAATGCAGTGTTTGTGCATACTTCCCACACACACACACCGTAGGTGGCATTACTAACAGTGCTTTTAATGTATCAGTCTGTTTCATTCCCTGTGCCCTCCAAGAAAAACATGCTAGGGAAGCAAAACTACTTTTTTTAGGCTTCCAAGATAAAACCTAGTGCATTCCAAACAGAACCTATAATGCATTTTATAGCTGGATAATGAAAGTTGTCTAGTGGTCTAAAAGAGTGAAAAATACTTGACCTCCTTCCAAGAATAGAATTAGAGATGAAAATTGGGCTCATTTGTAATTCCTTGTGTTGCCTTCCCTCATGCTAACATGTTTATGGGGAAAAAATACACTTTTTTTTTTTTTTTTTAATCATTCAACACTTTACTTTTCTTGGGGACTTGGAAAACATAAAGAAGGTATACCAGGTGTCCCATGATATCTCTTATACTGTGTAAACTCTAAATGGAGAGATGTTGCATATTTTATTTCAGTATTCTGGGCTCATTTTAACAAATCCATTTATAAGGTGAATAAAAAAGTCAAGCAGCTAAAGGCAGTCATTAACTGGAGCAGAGACATCGGTCCTCGGTGCATGACAATGCCTGCCAGGGCTCAGCCCAGGTTATGGTGGACTATGAGGAGTGGCCCAACTCTGATGACTTCACGGTTGGTTTTCTGGCAGATACATATTCTAAAACTTTGTTTGACACTACAGCACTAGAATGTCACTGCTCCTAAATGATGGCTTGCTGTGATGCTAAAAGTCATGCCACCAGCAGGATCACCCATGGTGGACAGATTTGGGTAGAGCTTCCAGACTAACACAGATTAATAAGAAAGGCCTCGTGATCTACTTCCAAAAAGTAGCTAATACAGTATTAGAAGATGGTGGTGGTAGTGGTAGTGTGCCATGAAGTTGGTTTTGACTCATAGTGACCCTGCATAGGTTTCCGAGGCTGTAAATCTTTATGGGAGCAGAAAGCCTCATCTTTCTCCCATGAAATGGCTGGTAGTTTTGAACTGCTGACCTTGAGGTTAGCAGCCTGACTCGTAACCACTATGCAATCCCCCTAGATTAGAAGGCAACAATGACCTCAAACATAGCAGCAATATGAAGATGGCTCAGGACCAGTAGCATTTGGTTCTGTTGAACACGGGGTCACCCCATGAGTCAGAGCCAAGTCAATGATAACAAGTAGCAAGACAATGCCTGAGAGAATAGCATGAACTCCAGTGTATCCATGATCCTGTAATAGTATTAAAAATACTTATGTTGAGTAAAGTAATAGTTTCTATTAATTGCTATCTTGGCTTGAGAATATGTAAAGCCATATCTAAAACACACATTAAAAAAAGAAGGTTTGAGTAGGAAATACTTAAAAAATAATAATGAATCTTGACATAAAACTTTATGCCTAGAGCTATTTGCAACCCTTAAGAATATGGAAAAGGATGAAAGGTAGTGCTTAGAAAAAATAATTACTGTGTGTTTAGAATAAAGAGATTATCAGTAATTTTTAACTTCAAACACTTTCTGTGGTTATACGTGTAAATATATATGTTAAACAGCAAGTTGTTGCTATTTAAGAAATTAAGGAAACTAAG